AGCATTCAAATGATCTTATTATGTGATAATATCTCAGTTCATGATCAAGGAGAAAAGTTTCAATCACCATTTTCACTGCAGTTTGGAATTGTATTTGGTTTAATCTTTAGGAAACGAGTTAAAACAACCTTTGGGTGTTTTCCCAGTTTTCTCAGGAATCAAAATTTCCAGAAGGAAATATTTGAAAGGTGTCTCTATTAGTGTTTCAAACCTTGGAGGAACTTACTTTTGTGCTCAAATATATTAAAGCGTGTGTAACAACCTATTAAATATACTCATCCTGATTTCAAATATGGGCACAGATAGATTGGAAATGTTTATACACATAGAGAGCTATAAAAATGAAATTGAAACAATCCATTAACTGCTAATGATAACCATGTATGTACTGCTAGCACACAGCCTTTTCTGCATTCAAAAGGCAAAAAAAAAAAAAAATCCTTATCCCAGTTTAAACAGAACCCTTATGTTACATTTACTCTTCAGCATCCCAATTACAACCTGAGGAGAATTTGACAGCAAACACCCAGTGCTCAGGAGGCTGGGGGGAATCTTTTCCTTGGCTCCACTGAAGCTGATTCTCCCCTGAACTACAAAAACCAGGACTGACTTGGGCAAATAACAAGTATCTTTGTGTAAGGCCAAACTGGCCTCAGGGACCAGAGCAAACATATCCCTTAACACCACACCAAGTTACTTCACACAGACAAATTCACTGAGGCAACAATTACTGCAAATAATATCACATACACAGCTGTATATACATTTATCCTTTTGATAAAACCAGAGTGTTATAGCATTCCATTTGACATTTCTGATAGATTTCCAGAGAGATTTGACAAATTTCTCTTTCCTCTTGAGCTGCTAAACAGATTCACTGAAGTAGACAGCATCAGAAAGTAATGCCCCATCCAGCCCTGAAGATAAAATGGGTTTTGCAGGACTAACTTAACAGGAATATTCTCCTCACTCCGTGTTCAGCAGCAGACAGTGCACACCAGGTTGCCAATTTTTGGTGCTGTAAGTAATGTACTTTTACAGGCTGTGGAGAAAACCCTGTGTGTTTGCTTTTTGTATGAGAAAGCACAAAGTTCTTACCTGCTGGTGAAACGTTACATGCACCCCGTGTAGATCATTAAGCATGAGAATTCATGGTACTCACAAACTATCACCATTCCTAGAGCCCAACTATTTGGCAGAAGGTTATGAAGGAAGGAAAGTGTTAGAAACCAAAGTTCAGAGGAGACCTCCTTGTTTAACCCAACTCAGTGAGCAAACCTCCAGCTAAACCCACTGCCAACAGCTGGGACACTCCATGACAGGGAATATGGCAGAGCTGCTGCTTTGTCAAACTGCACTTGGAACATCCTGGCACTGTCTCCTCCTCTTGCCTGAGAGGAGCAGAAGGGAGAGGATGATATAGGGAGAGAATACAGACTAAGGCAGCAGAGAGAAGGACGCTTTTATCACTCGTTGGATGTGTGCCACAGAGACCAATTATATACATTTGACAGCAACCATTATAATTCCAGAGTCCTTGAACAAATCACAGGCAGAAAGGTTACCTTCCTTGAAAATGTTCATTGCCATTAAATAACCGACCCAGGCTAGAGGGTGAAGGCAGCACTTAAGAGAGAATTTGGGGGAAGGGAGGAAATGGAGAATCTTATTACATGTACACCTGAGAAAACCCCATCGTTTGTTCTGAAAGAGGAATTGCAGATTCACTGCAGATACTGGACTTGCAGCAAAGCAGACACTGTTCTGCAAATGCAAATCCTACAGACAGCAGGGACAAAGCAGGCGAGAGAAAGAATTTCTCTCTGATACCAGTGTCAAAACTTGACTAAATTTGGTGAGGTTTATGGTTTCGCCCTCCAGTTTCAAAATCACAGGGCCTGGTCCCATATTCCTTGTGCTTTTAAGTTTAGATTGCTATGGAGGCTACAGACAAAGAAAGCTGCCATAGGTCAGATCCCACAGTTACACAACTTGATGACCACATCTAAGTGAAAGATTCATATTTCATGAAACATGTATTTCAATATCAAAGAGAGAGTTGAGGCACCTGCTAACAAGTGGGTACCTTGTTCTCTCTCAATAATAGAGGCATAATATTGGGAGATCTAAGGATCTCTATGAATTTCATCCTCTGTAAGCAATCATTCCATATCTCTGATGAAAAGTTTCACCATGCAACAGTATATAAACCAAGGTTGGTTGGTGCATGGCATTCAGGTTTCTTCAGCACATCCCATTATTTGGGATGTATCCTTCTAGAGAAGGTTCAAATTGCCTTTCATTTTAAAAGACACATCCAGTCAGATGGTCCTCTCTCTTCACACATGTTGAAAGTTTATTGTTCTCTTAATTCAGAGTTAAATCTAATTGGAAATCACTATTTGCATAAGAACAGGGAGTCAAACACGTGATTCTGAATTTCTGTTCTGAGGTTGACTCTTTCCATACAGGATTTGCTGGGTAGGATAGAAAGTTCCCAGCCTCTTTCCAGCTGAAATTTCTCCTGAGCCAGAAATGTGACTAAAGAAACTAGACACACACACAAAAATAATTTCTGGCTACATATCCTCTTGCAAATGTCACAACCCAACTTTGACAATGCCTATTTTTAACACCTCATGCAGCAAACTATCATGACGCAAAAGAAAAAGGAGGAAGATTGAGAGAGAGAGAGAAGAGGTGTTGGCTCAGACGATTTATTTCTGGGAGACATCAACCCTTTACAAAAAGAACCAGTAATGAGGGCACAAAACGCTGAAGAAAAACAAAAAAGGCACAAAATCAACAGGTTTTGTAGAATGACTCAAAGGAACACAAGTGCTGTTCACAGCACAAGATGACTTGTAACAGAGTAAGAAAGAGTCATGTTAGACCTGTATGTATAAAATGAGCTCTTATTTTATCGTTCTAGACTTCTGGACTTTTTGCAAGATCCAAAAGGCAAAGATATTTTAATGTACCTCTTTCTGTATTCAGAAGAGAATGCTCACAGCTCAAAGGCCACAGTTTTCAGCTCTGAATCAGAAAGGATATATTATAATTGCAAACATAAAATTTAAGCTCCTTTCACTCATATGGAGAGGGACAATTTGAGAGAGCAGGACAGATCGCTAAAGAGAATTCTCCCACATATTAATTCTCTTATTAATTCAGCTGAGTTTAATAAGTGATCCTTCCTCAGTTCCCAAAAGCCCACATCAGAACATCCATAGAAATAAATCTTCAGTCTCAATGGTCCTGCTTAAGAAGGTGAAGCTAAAATACTTCGTCAAAGAAATGTACTTATTTGTCACATCTGATTTGAAGTTTACAGACTTCAGCAAGGAATAATACCAGCTGTTGCCCTTGGATGCAGCTTTCAGCCATGCCTGATCCTGGTGACTCACCAATATATCTGGTATAAAAGAGAACAAACTGTTTCCAGATCCTAGGAGGAAAGTTACTCCCACTACAGCATTGAAGTTGAGAACTTCTGCCTCTGAGACTGGGAATCCCACAAGGATTCCACAAGGAATCAACAGGACAAAATTACGCCAATGTCAGACCAGAAGTTCTGCTTTGGGGCAGGAAGTCGAAAAGTCTATTAAGTTTAGTAAAAAGGCTTATGAGCCACTAGAACTGCTTTTTACAGCTTTCCAAAGACATTTTACAGTCGTTCTCTCCCATTTTTCAGTCTACTTTCAATCCCATCACTAAACTCTTCCTCTGCTGCAGGTTGCATAGTCTGCAGAGGAAAGGGGAGCTGAGACACTGCAACAGTTCCTCCAGTTCCCCTGCAGGGACACAGTGGGCACGGTAAGGCAGCAGAAAGTAAGCCCATGTGCATCAGTAATTCCTCCCAGTTTGAATGCAACATCAAGATAAAAACAGATAGAGAAACCTGATGGAGAGTGATGGTGAGGAGATAGGAAGGAGTGGGGTGGTAGAAACAGAAGGGATGGTGTACACGAAGTCAGGGCAGGCTGTGTTTGGGAGTGGAGGGGAAGCTAAGGGGTGTTATAGGTGTTAGAAAAGTTTGGTTTTGAGACAGAAACAGAGACACAGGATGACATTTGTTGTGAATGACTACCTGTGAGTTTGAGCAGTGGAAGGCAGAGTAGAAACCTTGTATTTTGGGATGCACCCCCAAAACCTGCAAATCCTGCACACGTACATGACAGACAGGACAGAGATCTGTGTGCAAGGACAACCCAGTGGAGAGACATCACCACTGTGTGTGCAAAATTCACAGTGTGCACGAGAGAGAGAGGATGGAGCAGGAAGTAGGAGTGCGTGTGCGGAGCCAGAGGAGCACTGGGAAAGGGGAACACCAGAACAAGAAGGAACTGACAGAGGGGGAGGAGAGAAAGATTAAGAACTTGGGGCAGGATGTGCAGTCTATTGCACAGGCATGAAAGACAAGGGAGAGGGAAAGGGAAGGACCCAACAAGGGACATGTCTGTCACACAGAGAACACGCTTGGTGAGAAACAGGCATAAGAAGATGGTGAAAAAGATAATAAGAGAGACACAGGGCTGAGAATAGAATAAAGGAAGTGTGAAGAACAAATTAAAAGAGGAGAAAAACAAATAAGAAAGATTTTATTAGTCAACAGAAAGAACCAGTCTCAGTGAAGAGATTTATAGAAGGCACAACACACAGTGGGCAGAACCAGAGATTCCCTGCACACCAGTCCTTTCATCTCCCCTGTCCAGACCTCCATATCAACTCTCCCTCCCCGTGGACCCTTCCTTTAAGAACACGTTTGCACCTCCAGCCACAGCCTGTTTGTCTCCCTGAGCCCGGGGCTCCAAAGATCAGCACATGCAGAGTACAGAGAGACCTGCTGGGGGCACGGGAGGTGCGAACGCAGCCACTTCCAAAGAAACATCGTCCGGAAAATCAACGCAAAAACGACAAAAGGTGGAACTGGAACTCGTAGTGGGTCAGAGCTGTGCTGGTCAGGGAGGTGGGGCTGCTCTGACAGCTGCTTTCCTTACCTTGGGTGCTCATGAGTGACCGGGCAGTCTCGCTGCAGCTGCTGCAGGATGAAACTCTCTACGTCGCCTCCATGCAATTGCCAGTGTATTCCCAGGAGTCTTGGAGAGGTTATTTGAGCTCTGCAGCTGTTGAAAAGTAAGGGAAACACAAGTAGCAAAGCACCCCCCGGCCCCTAAAGTACAAAAAGTTTCGGGAGAATCTGGTGCACCGGTGTCAGAACGAGCAAAGAGCCACACAGAAAGTAAGAAAAAGTGTGTCAGAGACTGGGAGGGGCGGAGAAGGAAAATGCAAAGATCTGACAGGAAACCAGACTATAAATCTGCTTAGGGTTTGAAAAAAACACATTTCTGCTCCCCAGCGATAGAGCCTGTTTGCAAATGAGTCTGCACACAGGTGACAGCAGAGCCCCAAGCACCATGGCAGCAAACAAAGAGGCACCTTTGCCCCTTCTCCAAGAAGGGCAGTGGGCAGAGGCAGCGACAGCACAAAGCCTGGCTCAGACAGAGAAAGCAGCCTGGCTCCACTGCCTCAATTCCAGCTCTCCAGACTTCCATGTTCCCCCAGGCAAAAGGGGACATGCTGAATGCCAGCCTTGCTGCTGCTGTGCCTCTCCCACCACCAGCGTCTCTTAGGGCACACGCTGGTGGAAAGCAGGAGGGAAAGAAAAAAAGAAAGGAAGAACTGAAGAAAACAGTTTCAAGAACGACAGTTCCAGGCAGAAGGAGTTCTGGGTTTTCCCGAGGTTTCAAAGGTTTTTCCAGAAACCCTCTATTTCATTAATAGCTGCTTTTGCTAGAAAGGTAGTCAGCAGGGTTTACTTCATGCATTAGATTATTTTGCAGTTGAATGATCCTTTAAACAATACATTTTCCAAAGGAAGTTTTGCTGACACCAGAAGCCACAGTATCTTGTTCTACTTCAATGCTGGACTCCAGGCTTAAGGCCAACAGTGCACACCTCCCTGTTGGTGGGTCTCACTGAGGACATTCACCTCCAGGCTGCAACCAGGAGCCCCCCACCACAGGCAAACCAACCTGGAGCAAAGTCAGCCAGTCCCTGCCCTCGCTGTTCTCCCGCTCCTGTGGGACCAAGAGTAACCATCACTTCTAGAAACATCCTTCAGAGCTGCTGCCATCCTGCTCAGGGATCCTAAGCCTGAACACTTCACACAATGTGCTGGTTCCTGTTCTGCTGCTGCCTCTTTAATCCCAAGGGGGAAACCAAGGCACAGATGCCCTTGTGGTCCCAGTTGCTCCCGAGGCTTTACCTTTGCACTGGGCAGACGTGCACAAGTGAAGCCTCTCTGGAGTCAGCAACAGGTCAACAGGTCCTGGATGTGTGAGGATCAGAGCAAAGACCACTTGAAGGAAGAGTTACATGAGTGCAATAACGATGTGTGTTTGTGAGGGTGATTGCAGAGCTCACCAGTCTGGGATCCATTCTGCTCCCTGAATTTCTGCAAAGTTGCTTTTCTTTGAAGGTGACCAGAAGAAAGTGACTGTGTATATATATGGGTATGTTTTTATTTCCTGAGAGGAAATGACTGATATAAAAGCAAAAAAACCCAAGGAATAATAAGCATAAGTGACATGTGATAGATAATTTAGGAATGTGGGGAGTGAAAAAGCATGATGACAGTAATGGAGTAAGAGAATGAGAAAGGAAAACATAGTTGGTAGAGAATAAAAGAAAACACAACAAACGGAAAGTAAGTATAAAAGAACAGTGGAAAAACTATCAAAGGATACAGCAGCGTCAAAGACAACAGAATGGAGGAAGTGAGATGATAAAGTGAAAAGAAGAAATGTGAGGGAGAAAATACATGGCTCAAAGTGTTGTTACAGTAACATGCAAAAGTGTTCTTAGCAACCTGAAAGCCTGAATCCTGCAAAAATCACTAGGGAGCAAAATGCAGAGGGCAGCTCTGCTCATTTCTCCCTGATTTCTTCTCTAGTTTCTCATGTTTGTACCTGTACCTGGACTGGTGAGGGTGTAAGTTTATCCATAAAGTTGATACTGAGAGGAGTTCTGGAATGAGTTCCAGTTCTCTAAATCAAGGTTTTTTAAAGGCTAAGGAAGGCAGGGATTTCTTTCTCTGGCTGAACAATAAACATTCTATGTCCCTACCAATTTTTTTCCAGTGAGGACTATACAGTTTTGTGCTACTGATGTTCATGTGCAACTTCACCAAAATTCACTGTTGAGCAGACTTGGAGCTGCACGTGACAAAGTGCAGGAAAGCCTCCTGCTTTGAGCAGCCAAAACATCTATTCAGGTGACAACTGCACAGGTGAGGTTCTGCAGTTTCTGACCGGGGGAAAGTGATATTTTGGGGGAAAACCATGAAATAGAGCTGTAAGAATCATGGCCTACAATTATTCAGTCAAAACCAATACAACACTTTTGAGTCAAGCTTTCTGCTGCTTTCACAGAGGAAGCTGATTTGTGCATGCAACAGAGGAACCATTTTAAGCACAACCAGAGAAACTCTGCTGGCAGGAGGCTTTGTGGCCGCACTTCGATTTAAAACCCACAGATCTTCCACGCGTGGTTCCCAAACCTGAAAGGAAAAACATGCTAGAAATTCAAATCAAGACTCACTAAGTCTCGTTACAGCTTTCTCCTTCTGTCCTTGATTTTGTCAGCAAACAGGGTGCCAGACAGCACACTCTGAAATTGCCCTACAGAGCCAAGCAGGGGGTCAGGCATCACTTGTTCCTGTTTCTGCTTTTGTTTTTTGTTTTAATGTTGTAGATTGCAAACAGCTCAAAAAGCACAACATCTGTTTTAAAGGAGATCCCGCATTTCCTCTGGTGCCCCAGAGATGAAGCAATTATCCAGTGAAGCCTGAGCAGCTTTAAGGAATCCATCACTGAAACTCAAAGGACCTAAAATTCTCATAGTCATAAAGGCTTTACTGGCAAACTGAGATTAGCTGAGCAGGACCCAGTCATCAATCACAAAGCCACACGTAACTGAGTATCAGTATCAACTTTTTTCTTATAAGAATTTACAGTCTTAATCCCAGTTTCCAGTTATAAAAAATTCTCTCGAGCTATAAAAGTGTTACGGTGAGGTTACGGTTCCTTGAGGCTGGTGGACTGAAGTTATGTGTTTCACACAATGTAAGTGTAGAAAATAATTATGTTCTGTTTGCCAGCCAGAAAATACAAGAAAATTCAGGTGTACTACCTAAAATACAGCAAAAAGCTGCAGAGTTTCAATCAGGAGCTTTCCCAACCAAATGTAGGGTCTAGGATCTTGACTGGTAGAGTTCTAAGCATGAAAATTTCCTCTTTTTTGTTTTGGTGCGAAAAAGAATTACCTTAAAAAGATACTTGTCTGTCATCTGTTTCTTTTTTTACAGTCATAAAAACAATCCATGGGAACTTTCAGTTTAACAAACTGTCCAGTTAAGGGGTAATAATAAACAATACTTCCCCTTTTTTTGTTGTTATTTTTGTTGTTTATGGCTTCTCAGACTTCTCTCATTAAACTTGGTGTAGGAAACAATAAATTGCACCTCTGCCTGCACAGTCACCTGGAAGGACACACCTGGTATGTTTGTTGTCTCCCTCTTTCCCAGAGACTTCAGAAAAGAAGGGCATATTTAGTTCCTTCCAATCACTCTCATTTTGCAGGATCTGAGCCCTAATGGCACAATCTGAATAACAAGTGCATGTTAAGCCCTTTGGTGGTGCTGCACCTTCCCTTCCTCCAGGCTTTTACTTCAGGATCCTTGCATAAAAATTTTCAACATTATTCTATTATTCCATTATTCCAAGCAGTGGAGAAGATTTGGGATCTTAGCAATTCCTCCACGTTGTTGTTGGCCTCCGAAGTATTTTGCTCAGGGGGACGTTCACACCGTGACATTGTTATTGGGATGAAATATATGGAAAGTTTCTCTTCTTCTCTTTCTTAAACTTCCTGCAGTGGAAGGTTCTCCTTCTGCACCGTGACTTCCTACAGAAGGCTTTTTTACAGAGGTGATTCATCAGCTCAGGGGAGGCCGTAAGTCAGAGCTGAAGCTGCCACAGAGCTTTAAATGGCTGCAGTCGGGAGAGAGAAAAAATATCAGCATTTGGAAGTAAAGAAACACGAAACTATCCTGCTCTTAATCTGCTGCTCCTTTTCTTCCCTTCCCTTCTTCTCCCCAGAGATCCATCCCAGCCCATGAGGAGACTGCCCTTGACTCCTTATCAGCGTAACAGTCCTGAAAATCCCTGGGTACCAGAAGCGCATTTCACAAACTAGTGATTTGAGAACTAATATATTGCATTTCTCCTGCATACCTGGGCACAGCAGCACCGTCTATATTGTTAACACAACCCTTCCAACTCTTCAGAGCAGAGAAACAGAAGTATTAAATATTTTCCCCCGTTTTACATATTTTATATTATCAGCCTTGCTCAACTATCCTTAGAGACTATCAGTCTTACTTAAGGATGCTCACAATTTATCATTTTTCTCTGGAGATCTGACTTCCAGAACAGAAGTATTTCCCTATTCAATTCACCAGCCTGTGGATAAGCAGCCGTTAGTGTTCATTTGCCTTTTCTAGGCATTAGCATCAAAAATGCCCCTTGATCTTAAAAAGTGACACACGGTGGGATTTCTTTAACACCTTTGGGGGTAATGGCTTAAATCCAGCAGGGAAATGTTCTTATCTATAGGTTTATGATACACATTTAAACAGTGTTTCAATTGCCTGAACTATGAAATAAGATGACAGGCAAACATATATCAGTGGGGAACAGACAGTATAAAAGTCCCTCTTTCATTTGGCAGTGGTGGGGGTTATGTATTTTTGCACTAAATGTACAACCTCTGTTGAGTTCAACAGTATTATGGGATTTACCTGAGTCAGAGAGAAGCATATGCAAAATTTGGGTTCAAATCCAACCAGGGATCTGGGTTCCCAATCCATGGCACGGGGGGTGCCAAAAGACCAGCCTGAAGCAAAGAATACCCAGATTTGGGGGTTTGACAGGACAAGGGGGAATGACTTTAAGATGAAAGAGGGTAGATTTAGATTGAATATTGGGAATAAATTTCTCCCAGTGAGGGTGGGGAGGCCCTGGCACAGGTTGCCCAGAGAAGCTGTGGGTGCCCCATCCCTGGAAGTGTTCAAGGCCAGGTTGGACGGGGCTTGGAGCAACCTGGGATAGTGGGAGGTGTCCCTGCCCATGGCAGGGGATGGGACTTGC